TACTTCAATTACTTCTAGAAAACCTTGAGTACTTTGTACTTGTACTCCAAGTACTTTAGAATGTACTTGGGACTGCTCTGCTGCGCACTGAACCCACTGTATGCAACCACTTGACATTGGTTTCTTCGGCCCGTTACAAACCTACTATAACCAAGAGATACAAATATGGCTGAAACAAAATCCAGGAAGGATGGTAACGCATTTTCAGGTTGCTTGTCACTTGTCTACTTACAAATGCCTATTTGAAAAGTGCAACACCGACAAATGCCATAAATGCATTTCGTGAAGCAGGAATGGTGCCCCTAAATCTTGAAATTTTTGAGGATTGGATATTTGCCCCATCCTTCACTACGGACAGACCCCATGAACAATTAACCCTCGAAGACTTTGAACAACCAATAGAAGAGATGCAAATAGCCTTAGATGTCGAAATAGCAGGTCCTTCTACATCAGGAACAGCAAGTCCTTCTACGTCGAAAACAGCAAGTTATTCTGCATCAATACAAAAAGCTAAGCTTATTATTCAAGAATTATCGCTGTTGCCAGAAGCTGCATCTTAACATGAAACAAAGACCGCGGATAAAGTGGTCATTTAAATAGTACACCTGATATTGTAGACGTGACTATTGACGTCCCCTTTTTATTGATTTCGAAAAGAGAGAAGAAGACAGCAAGCGATAGGGAAAACGATCTCTATCCGTTACAGAGTCCAATCAGAATTTGCATGGCTATAAATGTTGCGTCTACAAAAAAAGGAAGTTACAGAATATCCAAGTTAAGTATACCAACATAGGCGACCTTTCCCTACCCATTACCAAGAATTGCCAATACCCTTACGACATTGGCAGACCCAAATTGACTTTTTTAGATTTAGCGGATACTAGCAGGTGAGCATTAATGAAAGAGACATGGAGAAGGCAGCGTGCTCCACTGGAAGTGGTCTTCACCAATTCAAGGTAATGCTTTTTGGTTTCTGTAAGGCCTCTGCTACTTTTCAGAGGCTGATGGAAATCGTCCTTAAAGGACTTACGTGGAAAGTATGCCATGTCTACCTGAATCATGTGAAGAACTTTCGATCAACACCTATGAAACTTACAAGAATTATTTACTCCTATCCGTAAGGCTCTTCCAACAGCGCGTTGATTTTCTTGGCCGCGTAGTTTACCAAAGAATATGATAGACTAACGTCTCTAGAAGACCCGTCCGCCGGCGAAAATATAAACCCGCGTGATGGCGCTGGTGTCCTAGTAAAATCAGTCGTTTCTGCGATTAAATTAATTTGAGGCACCAAATGCAGACGTATTTGCTAGGCTGCGTTGCCAAGTTGTCTTTTTTATAACAAATTAAGGCTATGGTCCGGATATAACCAAACGTTAATCAAAGTAACCGAATCGGTTGACAGATGGTTACTGAAAATTCCGGTTACTTGGGGAACACCAATATGAAATAAAAAATAATTGACACAATTTACAGATAGAACCGACATTTGATAGCCGGTAACTATTTTGACATTTGGTTAACCAGATTTCAGGAAACCAAGGTTCAAAAGTAACCACTTTTCCAGGAACCAGAGTAATTTGATTACTTTCGGACCGCGAAACCACAACCCTGGTTATATTCGGACCACAGCCTAAATGCCTGTGTTTTATATAGGTACAGGGTGATCTATTATAAATGTCACCCCCTGTTAACTTTATCATTTGACGTTTTTGACAGAAGTTTTAAGAAATTGTTAAAAGTCTTTAACTAAGTTAGTTTTAGGCATACACGGTGCGTCAAAAAAGTGCAGCAGTGTGAAGTTATATTTTTTTAAATGGAACACCCTGTATATTGTGCGCTTATTTGTTAGTCCCCTTCAACCTGATTTCAACGATATACGGTTTAATATGTTTATCTCTCGGTTTATCTTCAATAGTTATAGGGAAAAACGCGAAAATCCCTTCCTAGGTCTCTCATGTTATTTTTTAAAAAATAATTATGTTAACTTTAAACATCTGGATTTATCATAATATTTCACCTTTTGCATATTAATGAATAAAATTTGAACAATAAACTGTTCATAAAAAAAATTCTCTAAAGCTTAAATGGTATAATTTTTCTTTTTTTAATATGAAAACTTGAAAGGGGTTTTCATGTTTTTCCCTATAACTATTGAAGATAGATATATCAAACCGTATATCGTTGAAATCAGGTTTAAAAGCGACTAACAAATGAGCGCACAATATACAGGGTATTCCATTTAAAAAAATATAATTTCACGCTGCTGCACTTTTTTGACACACCCTGTATGCCTGAAATTGACTTAGTTAAAAACTTTCGACAATGTGTTGAAACTTTTGTATTTGACACTATTTTCAAAAATGTCAAGTGAAAAAGTTAGAAGAGATCACCCTGTACACTAAAAAGGACAGTTACCCGATACCTTATATCAATTCGATCCTTGACAATTTACGTAATGCCCGATATCTAAGTAGCATAGATATAAAATCTGCCTTTTGGCAAGTACCACTTAGTTCTGAGTCTCGTGAACTTACTGCTTTTACTGTGCCTGGACGAGGACTATATCAGTTCTGTAGGATGCCTTTTGGATTGACCAGCAACTTGGCAGCGCATTGTAGATAATGCTTTGGGAGCGGATCTCCAAAATAAAGTGATGGTGTATCTGGACGACATCATTCTGATTAGCGAAACATTTGAAGAACATATTCGTCTCCTTGGACTTGTGCTTGATAGGCTTCGAGTAGCAGGTTTCGTTCTCTCTCTTGAGAAATGTAAATTTTGTCGGTCGCAGCTTAAATACCTTGGGTGCGTTGTCGATCGTGATGGTTCAAGACCAGATCCTGACAAAGTTGAGGCTATCGTCAATATTCCTACTCCTAAAAACATCAATGAAATACGTCGATTTATAGTTACTGCTTCATGGTACAGACGTTTCGTTCCCAATTTTTCTAGCATTACCTATATCTTCATTAACAAATCTGACTAAGAAAAATGTAAAGTGGGTTTGGACCCCTGAGTGTGACCAATCCTTCAAGTCCATCAAAGAACACTTAGTTACCGCTCCTGTTTTGACCTACCCTGATTTCGATCATACTTTTACTCTGCAGACCGATGCTTCTTCTTACGGTATAGGTGCTGTTTTAACTCAGGAATTTGATGGAGGAGGAAAAGTCATAAGCTATCTTTCACGCTCATTGACCAAACAGGAACAAATATATACAGTGACAGAAAAGGAGTGCCTGGCTGTTATTTGGAGTATAGAGAAAATAGAGAAATTGAGGCATTATCTGGAACATACTCATTTTAAGGTCATTACCGACCATCATTCGTTGCTTGGGCTTCATAAACTAAAAGATCCTCAAGGGCGCTTAGCGCGTTGTGCTTTACGTCTTCAACCCTACGATTTTGAGTTGATACATAGAAAAGGAAAATACCATATTGTGCCAGATTTCTTGTCTCGTTCTGTCCCTATCATCGAAACTATTTACACCGATAATTTTCTAGCTTCATTCTCCGACACCACTGAAAAGTGGTATTTGCAAATGTTTGAGAAGCTAAATGACAATCCGAGGAAGTTTTCTACCTGGAGAATCGAGAATGACATCCTTTTCAAATTTGTTTCTGTTTCACTATCTCTGAGCAATGACGATTGCAAAGTAATAGTCCCTAAGGATAGGCGCAAAGAGGTTCTTAGACGTTGTCATTATATTCCAGCTTCAAGACATGTTGATGCTTTCAAGACCTTTTGGGGGATTCATAATCATTTTTACTGGCCCAAAATGAAAGCAGATGTGGTCAATTATATATACGTTCATGCAGGGTATGTGCGCAGCAAAAGGTTGAACAAACCACCTGGATTAATGGGATCTCGTCCAGTTGTGAATGGACCTTTTCAATGTGTCAGTCTAGATATCATAGGTCCTCTTCCGAGGTCAAAATGTGTATTTTTCCTTGTAGGGCTGCAACTGTCAAAATTTTATCTAGAAACGTTGAGGAGGGTGTTCTTCTAGCATATGGGTCACCTCAATTTCTTATGTGTGACAATGGTACTGTCATGAAATCCAAGGAATTCCAAGGTCTGTGTGAGAAGTACCAGGTCAAAATTTTCTATACTGCTCATTACAATCCCAAAGCCGATCCTGTGGAAAGGGAAATCGAGTAGTAAAAACCATGATTCGTTCCTACATTAATCAGAATGATCACCGTACTTGGGACGAAAATTCACAATCTATAGCTTGTGCTGCTGACCTTCCGCTAATTTCATCAACAATGCTTCTGCACAAGCAGTCCCAAAAATGTCAGTCTATCCATTGACAGCAATGTTCGTCTCATGACTTGAGAGGCCCTAATATCTTGGCCTGGCTCTTGATATCTTCCTATCTATGATACAATTGGAGGAACGATTATTCAAAGTTTTTAGGTGTTTATCTTCAAAAATGTTGAAATTTAATGTTGAGTCTAGCCCAAACTCCAAACTACTTTGAATCATTAGCAGATTTCAAACCGAAATGTGTATACTCTTGATAAAAATATTTCCGAGCAAAATTTACATTGTCCAAAGTCATTATTTCACCCTTTCAAGTCTACTCCCTACTAAATAATAAAATTTTCCATAATGGAAGCTCTTGGTCTTTATCCATCAAGAAAATCCAATTTCTCAATATTGCTCAAGTATAGTAAACACCGAAAACAGACCTATCAAAGCGAATGAAAGTCTCTTTAGCCTCTTCGCTCGAGAATCCGAATGCAATATTGTCTAGATTACGTCGATTTTCTCTTACAGGTAATGAATGATTTATTTGAAATTTTTTTTGTTCCCGAGGGTTAAGTGCGCATTTATCCTCATCCACCGAGGAAAATATTTATTTATAAGGCCCCACGAACATACATTTATTCATTTGACGTAAAAGGATTTTTGTGTTTTATTTGAAAAGCCGCTACAAAAAATAAATCCTTATGAAATCTTACTATATAATTAACACGTTTTTTGTTTTTTCCAGTGTCAACTCAGAAATGCTATCTCCATTAGACATTGCCGTTCTAAGCAATAACCGTTCCATGGCCAAAATGCTTACTTCCTTCGGTGCCAAGGATGGAAATCAATGTAAGTTATACATTATTTCAACCCGTTTTGTAATTAACATTTTAATTAAATCAAATCCTCTATAACCAGCTTCTTTTTTCCTTATCGCATAAATTTAACCATGTCTTTCCCAATTAAAATAGCGATTTGAAGCATAGAAAATTTTATTTTCAGTTCCGACTCCTGAAAAGCTCGGATCTCATCTGCGACAAATTTTATGTGAGGCCGAGATGCGCTTGCAAGAATTCGGAGGCTTATTGGAAGAGCCTCTTATAGGGCTCAATACCAGAGCATCGTTTTCCAGTATGTTGAGTGCAGGCTCTTCATCTTCAATGACAGGTAATTTTATTTTCACTCTGTATAATAATGAAACGCACAATATATGACATTGAATTGTTTTAATGTGTGGGCACAAGTACACATAATACCCACAAAGATTTGTCTAAGTGGAATTATTCTCTTGGTTTAAGGTGAATTAGCACGTTCATGAAATGTTCTTCAAGTGAATTAGTCAGTGGAAATAGTGGTGCTTTTGTGATTTTTTTAATTCTGGTTATTAGTGAAACGTTTCTAATAACCATTTTAAGGTAATTTGTGCTTTATTAAGTTTGTGTAATGTGTTTATTTTAAGCTAAGTGATTCAAATATGCTTTGACTTTTCAACTTTTCCATCCATTTAAGCTTTTAATTCATCTATGACTTCCACTAATTTTGCTCAATTTCATGACTCAGGGGCTTGATATATTTGATTTTCAATAGGAACTGTATAGTGTGAGCAATCTATAGTTCAATTGAATGATTTGTGACCTACAATCTTCTTACTAAAACGATGAAATTTCATTTTTTTTTTGTTAAGATTTTGTGTCCTAATGGTCACTTGGGATCCCCCGAACTCCATACACTGATTTATTCCCAGATTTGAAGCCGAAATCTATGAAAAAAGGCACTCAGAAAAATTGAAAAATTGATAAATCACCCCAAATTGCTTAACACAATTTTATCTCAGGAACTATAAGTCCAAATGAGTTGAAATTTTCAGGAATTGTAGTCCCTTGATTGGGATGAAATTCAGTGAAGGTTTCAGCTTCCTATCTATAATAGAAAAAAGTTATGACCTTTCAAGTTTTCCAAAATCTAAATCATAAGGTAGGTAGGTAACTTCTTACTAAAACGATGAAATTTCAATTTTTTTTTTGTTGAGATTTTGTGTCCTAATGGTCATTTGGGATCCCTCGAACTCCATACACTAAGTGATTCCCAGCTTTGAAGCCGAAATCTATGAAAATAGGCACTCAGAAAAATTGAAAAATTGATAAATCACCCCAAATTGCTTAACACGATCTTATCTCAGGAACTATAAGTCCAAATGAGTTGAAATTTTTAGGGATTGTAGTCCTCTACTGGAATAAGAATCGCTGAAAATTTCTATTATAGAAAAAAAGCAAGGGGCAAACCACCTAGGAATTCTTTACCAAAAATGTGGGGAATTTAGAGGAATTTATGGGGAGTTTGAAGGAATTCATCGGAATTTATGAAAATTTGGGGAATTTATAGGAAATTCGGAGAAATTTATGGGGAATTTGGAGGAATTTGTGAGGAATTTTTGAGGAATTTAAAGGAAATTGTAGAGTCATGACGTCACTGAGGTTCACATTCTTATTATAAGAAACACTGATAAATGGATATTTTTAAAAAAATCTAGTTTTGTGTTGAACGTTGGACATTCATTTTCATTAACGAAATTTTCCCAACATTACACTTCATGATTTATTTACAGGTTCAAATTTAAAAAATTCAAAACAATAATGTTTTTGTAGGCTGATTTCCAAGATTCATCATGTTATTTTCCACTGGAAAAATTTGAAGTTTTGGGAAAATGAGCTTCTAACCTTCCTCTTCACAAGTGAAAAGTTTCAAATTTTTCCGTTTACTAGTTTTCTAGGAAAACTTCGAAATGTGTGAGACTGCATTTTCAATTAATTCAGTTATTCTAGGTTGATTTCTAATATTCCCCATGTTGTTATTTTCAGCTGGAAAAATTTGAAATTTTGGGAAAATGAACCTTTAACCTTTCTACTTTTCACATGCACAAAGTTTCAAATTTTTCCTTTCACTAGTTTTCCAGGAAAAAATTTGAAATGTGTGAGACGGTATTTTCAACTAATTCAGTTTTTGTAAGTTGATTTCCAAGATTCTTCATGTTGCTATTTTCCACTGGAAAAATTTGAAATTTTTCGAAAATGAGCTTCTCACCTTCCTCTTCACATGCAAAAAGTTTCAAAATTTTTCCTTCACTAGTTTTCCAGGAAAACTTTGAAATGTGTGAGACTGTATTTTTATTTAATTCAGTTATTGTAAGTAGGTTGATTTCCAATATTGCTCATGTTATTTTCTACTGGAAAAATTTGAAATTTTGGGAAAATGAGCCTTTAAACTTTCTACTCTTCACAGGCAAAAAGCTTCAAATTTTTGCCTTCACTATAGTTTTTCAGGAAAACTTTGAAATGTGTGAGACTGTATTTTCAATTAATTCAATTATTGGAGGTTGATTTCCAAGATTCTTCATGTTGTTATTTTCCACTGGAAAAATTTGAAATTTTGGGAAAATGAGCTTTTCTCCTTCCTCTTTACATGCAAAAAGTTTCAAAATTTTCCCTTCATTAGTTTTCTAGGAAAACTTTAAAATGTGTGAGACTGATGTATTTTCAATTAATTCAGTTATTATAGGTTGATTTTCAAGATTCCTCATGTTGTTATTTTCTACTGGAAAAATTTGAAATTTTGGGAAAATGAGCCTCTGACCTTCCTCTTTACATGAAAAAGTTTTAAAATTTTCCCTTCACTAGTTTTTCATGAAAACTTTGAAACAGGGAGTAAACCACCTAGGAATTATTGTCACCAACCTGGGGAAAAGAGATGAAACAGAACTTTTTCTATAACAGAATTTGCTATGAATATTGCCACCAAGCGCGATAATCCCAAAAGGCTTATCACTTATTAAACCTCTCGGGTCATATGGGAATAATGTGGGTACAGCGTATTAAAGTTTAGTTCGTTATATAACCTTTTAAGTACCACTCGATGTTTCAGGATTACCTAATACTTTTACCTGACACTCAACGAATTACCAGCAACACCACTCCTCCTTCGGAGTCGTGGTGTTGCTGCGTAACGCGTTTCGTGACATGTAATAGTATTATCCGGTAATCCTGAAACCTGTTGTGGTATTACATTCGAAAATACGGGGATATACAACAGAAAAATATTAGGTAGGAAGGGGAAATATAAGGAAATACATAACAAAATGGAGAAATATACGGTATTATGAAGAAATATCGAGATATTATTAAGAAATATCAGGGTATTATTAGGTAATATCGAGGTATCATTAGAAAATATCGAGGTATTATTAGGAAATATTTAAATATTATCAGGAAATATCGATGTTTTATCAAGAAATATCGCACATGTAACGTTACGAGCGCACCCGAATATTCTCGAGGCCAAACGTTTTGGCATTTTTGTGAATAAACTTTGGTATTCGTAAATAAATCGGTGAATAAACTCTAAAGCCTGATTTATACTCCACCGTTCGTCGTATTTTCATTAGCCAATCAAATTAGACAATTTTTGTCATGTAGTCATGTGATACAAAATAAAAATTTTGGGTTATGATGTGTTTCCAATAGCAACAACAACATTTATATTGTGGAAGTATACAGGGTCCCAATTATTTCATTGGGACAGTATTGCTATCTCGGGAACGATTAAAGTTACGAGGGCGTTTAAATTAGAAAAAAAATTAAGTATGGGTACCACTTATATGTCTCTAAAATCAATAGATTTTGTACTTTCAAAATTTTCACCAGTGTAGTTTGTTCCTCAGAGATTACGGTTTGCATCAATTCTCGCTGAAATTTAAAGTTTTCCTGAAGCCGGTCCTGTTTTTTCTGTCTTCGGTCTAGTTCTTCTTGTTTTTTTTTCTGTTTTCAGGCTTCTTTTTGTAAAACTGCTGCAAGCAGTGCAGGCCGGTATTGTTCTTCTTGTTTTTCTTTCCATCTTCGGACTTCTTTCAGTCTTTCCATTTGTCTTCAGTCTTCCTCTTGTCTCTTTTCGTCCAAGTTTTTCATGAAGTCTGACAAGATTTGATTAACTTGCACCATTTCAGATATCGTCGGTTTACTGTCATATTCATCATAAAATAGCCTGTATCTTTCTTGAAACTTGATTTTGAACCTTAAGTTCTGTGATGTGAAATTTTAAAATAGAACACAATGAAATGTTTTAAGAAAACCACTTCGTGGAATGTGGACTTGTTTTTTTGATATTGAAGAAATCATTAATGATGTCACTATTCGTGTATCAGTCACAGTTTCTAAATAGAATTCAATGGGAGTTTCAAGGATTTCCAGAAAATCTGTTCTTGAGCTTGTTTTAGATGTTGAAGCCAGCAATAAACTCATTACTCTTATATCACTTATGGTTTCCAAATAAAATTCCATAGAAGTTTTTAGAATTTTCAAGAAAATCCTCGTCAGAATCCGCTTATGAGCGGGTTTTTCGATGTCGCCACTGATAAAGTCACGAATCTTATATAACTTACAGTTTCCAAAAAGAATTCAAGAGAAGTTTATACAATTTTCCAGAAAATTCATTTGTGAGCTTGTTTCAAGATGTCAAATCCGGTAATAAAGTCACTTTTTATTTCAATAAAAGTTCACTGCTTGTTTCCCCATTATAAAGCTCTCGAATCGAATAGAAAAACGCGCGTCCCGACGTGAACAAGTAGTTTTCTCAGAATTCTCGCCAGGTTTTCGATGCATTTTCGTAACAATAATAATAAAGGAAATATTGGGGAATTATCAGAAATTATGGAGGAATTATGTTACATATCAGGGAGTTACCGGAAATATAAGATAATTATAAGGCATTATTGGGAATTATGAGACAATATCGGGAATTACTGGAAAATATAGGAAATAAAGGCAATATTCGAGAAATGACTCCCCCAAAAAAAAATATTTGTCAAAAGTCTTAGGGGTGGTTTACCCCTTGCATAGAAAAAATAAATTTCTTATCACGAGCAATTATGGGGATTTTTAGGGAATTTGTAAGAGACTTTTGTGGGAAATTTGAGAGGAGTTTGGAGGAATTTGCGGGAATTTGGAGGAATTTGCAGGGAATTTAGAGGAATTTGTGGGGTATTTGGAAAAAATTGTGGTGGGGTATTTGGAGGAATTTGTGATGGGGTATCTGGAGGAATTTGTGGGGAATTTGGTGGGATTTGCAGGAATTTTGAGGAATTATACGTAAAAAATTCCCCTTTGAGGAATTGTTTG